AAAACTTTCAATCTCCAGTCTTCCATTGTAGGCAGGATTGGGTCATTGTAGGCAGGACTGGGAACTTAACAATCTTAATAGCTGCAGTAATTCACTTAAAAATTGTGGCAAGAAAAGTCACAAAATGGGACAAAATTCACTTAACAACTATCTTATTTAATAACAGAAATTTTGGGCAATTGTTGTCATAGATTGAGGACTACCTGTATGTTAGAAGCTTTATTTTTTTAAAAAAAATGTGTAGCCCCCAACCACAAAATAAATAAATAAATCTGCCTATTCCAGACTGTAAGAGGGAGCTAAATGACTTATCCATTTAACAAACAAAAACATTCCCAGTGTTAAAAAATACTGTATTATGAAGGTTGAGCTAGAACCAATTACATTCACTTTTCTCTATAGTTCCTAACTTTTAGAACAGCCTGTCTGCATTGGTCTAATTTAGACACATGTTTAATCTCATTGGTAGAAAAAAGTTCTGGAAATATGTTAAAAGGTGCGATTAAATGTGCTTATTTTCCGTCTCTGCTGATACAAAATATTAGGGCTTAGCAAGCATCGAAGGCTGAATCCAGAAACAGTAAGTTGCACTTAAACCAATATAAAAAGCAAAAGTTAATCAGAGAAAGAGTTCCATGGGTTATATGAATATTAAGGCCGCAATTGTTTATATACTTATTAAAATATGTTTTTCTGAACAGATATACTTCTAAACAAATTTGAATATGATTTCTTATAAATGAACCCTATAAAACAATGAAGAAAAAAAACGTTAAGGCTTATCAATTATTTGGCCCCGGTTTTTACTTTATAGGGAAATGAACCAGATTTTCAGTTACAAAAATAACAGCATATGTTAGCTGTAAGTAAAAGTTCAAAATCCAACTTAGGGCTATACTTTTAATGACACTAATTACTGCTAAACATGCACTGTGTGGATCAAATTGGCACCAGATGTTACGCCAACCTGTGTTCTTTTTCTTCTCTATTAGTGTCTTATAAGTGGCTATCTTATTCTTAAGCCTGCTTTCCAGCAGCAATTTCTTTAAACCAGAGTTTCTCAAGTTCCAGATGGGTGGATTTCAATTCCTACAGCCATTGGGAGCTATAGATTAATAAACAAATTCACTATCTAGCATTGCCCTACTGAAAATTTGGGGAAGTGAAGCTGCAAAAGTTGAGAAACAAGATTTTAAGCCAAGGATGTCCAACCTTGACAATGTTAAGTCTTGTGGACTTCAACTCCTACTTGTGGGAGTTGAAATCCACAAGTCTTACAGTTGCCAAGTTTAGACACCCCTACTTTAACCTATAAATTCTTTATCCTATAGGTATACATACTGAGACCATTAGTATGAATATTTGCTGTCATATTGTAATTATAAAGGTACCAGAAGGGGTGTTTTAACAGATGTGAGAAGATATCATTAAATTAAATGTATATACAGTAATCAATTACATTAATTTTAGATTAATTTATTAATCTTATTTTCTGGAGTGCAGCTTTTTACCTGAAAAGATTAGGCAGCTGGCTTTTTATCTCTTTACCAAAGTATTTGACCAAACATCCCATCCTAGCCCAGCCCAGCCCAGCCCAGCCCAGGCATGGAGTTATGGTCCAAGGACAAAAGGAAAGTAGTAAGATGGAGAAAGCTGCTTTAGCTCTATCAGATTTGATCCTTCTGCACATCAGACAGGCAGTCAGCAGGAGGGAATAAAGGAGAATGCACAAATCCCAGGAAATCATCTGCAAGATGAGACTTGCATTTGCTACAACAAAGCCAAAGGAAAAAGTGAAAAAGGTGCCTGCCACATTACTATTTGCAATGCCCCCCCCCCACAAACCCCACTAGAATCCAGCCTAGAGCCACCAATTCATGTGCCCTGGGGGAAAGTGCTTTCCTACATCCCCAAATAAGGCAATACTCAGCAACAAGCTGAAATCCTTCAGGAGATTAATAAAACAGGCCTGACACTGACCACATCCTTAACATGCCCACTAAGGCGCTCTGTGCCCTGTGCCCTGTTTTTAATTTAGCTTTACTGGCACTGGGCACCACATTGGCTTCCATTTAAGTTCCCAGAATATTCCTAAGATAAAAACATTCTGGGGCATTGTGGGAAAGTTAATGGGTAAGCCAGGTTCATTTAACAACTGTGTTACTAAACAACTGCAGTGATTCACTTAACAATTGTGTCAAGAAAGGTCGTAAATTGGGGCAAAACTTAACAAATGTTAACAAATGTTTTACTTAGCAATAGAAATTTTGGGCTCAATTTGGTCGTAAGTCGAGGACTACCTGTACAATGATTTGGTATGAAGGTAAAATTCAGGAAACAGAAAAAGTTCAGGAGAAAAATGGTCTCCCCCCCCCCCTTTTCCCCCCTGGATTTCTTTTTCTCTGGGTTTAACGGAATAATTTGTTTAAATAGGACCTGAGACAGACAAGAGATAAAGATTCACAATATCATACTTCTCTATATATATCTTTTTCTTTCTCACGTGAGAAACATCAAGCAAGATATATACAGCTGTCCCTCTCTTTGCAACAATAAATCTCTGAGTTCATTTCTTGGAAAAGGCTGTGTAATCCACTTTTGGCCTTCTACTGAATGGTAAATATTTCTTTTCTATCAGATTTTTGATTTGCTACATTAAATTCTCTCTTAGTCCACATTTTATGGTCAAAGCATATTATCTAAATGAAATTGGCTTTATTGATTCATTATATACTAGAGTATCCAAGTTGAGTTGAACCCATTTTATGGTAATTTTATGGACAAACCCATGCAGTTTTCAGGATAATAATGCAGAAGTGATTGCTACTATCTTCTTATATTCCTATCTGGCCAAACTCCTATCGAATTGTCAACTAGGCAGCGTTACTTAAGCTTCTTAACTAAAAATCTAATAGCCATTTTGGTTGTCTTCTGAAGATAAAGCGGAATACATTTAAAATTAAGCAATTAAATTAAATGCATATATATCAGTAGTTATTGCTTCCTTTTTCATTATTATATTTTTGGACATCTTACAATTTTTGACTGAAGCTTCAAAAACCCAATACTGATTGCTGAGTAGATCTAGTTATAAAACTCAGTATTAATTTATAAACTGCAGCCGCCAGATTAGGTGATTCACATTAGTTTCACATGTAATAACATTCTGTGTTAGTGAAACAAGAAGGCAATTATGTTCACAAAAGATTGATGGGCCTTTTATCTAAACTGATTGTTTCCAGCCTGGCATCCTCCAAATATTTGGGATTGCAACTGCTATGAGCTCAACCAACATACACAAAAATCATGAAGATGGGCATTGTAGTGTAAACCAAAGAAGCTGTGTTGAAGAAATAGATTTACAGGCACATTCAACGAACATTCATCATTATATGCACACAAGAGGAAAAACTTGGCTGAAGAATAACTTGTATGCTACTACATATGAGAAAAAATTAATAAATTAGTACATATTTTGATACACTTTGGCTGAAGTTAGCTCAGACTAAATTTAAATGGAAATTTTATGATATTCCCCCACTCACAAATTCCTGCTTAAAAAGATTCAGAGCTAATGCTAGCTGTTCAACTGCACTTCTCTAAATGTCCCTAGCAGCATTTTTGAATAAATTCTTTGTTAATCTTGTGACAATACAGTATTTACAATAGTTTCTTGGTTTTCAGAAAATTCTTACTGCAGAAACAGGGAGAGGATAAAATCAACTACATGCATTCATGAAATTAATATGACACTATACTATATCATATCCAGATCTGCACCACATGGACAGAGATGTACAAATTTCCAAGTTAAAACTATAAATCACTTTATTCAGTATGGCTACTTTGAGATGTCCTGGAGCAGAATCCTCAACACCCTTATGGGAATTGTAATTCAACACACCTAGAGGGCATTAAGTATAAAAAAAGATAAATATATAAAACTCCAACTAAATAACTAGAATAAGCCTAACAGGTGCACTGTGCAGAATATATATAAACCAGTAAGTTTATGGTCTCTGTGTGTGCACACATCCTTTTGTACTTACATGCTTGTTACTTAGTAAGAGACTAGAAACAGACTGCTTGCCTCCAAAAAAGGAATCAAAAGCATGGCTTTTAATTGAAAGCAGACTGGAGAGACTATCTGCCTTTATGTTTGCAAAATGAATGCAAAATTGGGGTGGGTGGGTGTGTGGCATAGCCTTTTGTCTTTACAGTTCAAACAAAGTATTAAAATGGGGGAGGGGAGAATGCTTTATACCCAGCAGAATCTCACCCATATCTATTCAAAAGGAAGTCCAATTGAATTTTGTGAGACTTCCTTATGGGAGAACCAAGTAAAGCCACAAAGAATAACTGATATTTAGATGTCAGGAAACTCTGACGATCCTGAAATCCAAATGATTTTTAATTACCATCACTATGCTCGCTGAATGAGCCTGTGTAGCTCACAAGCCTGCATCTTCCTTAGTTCCGATACAGTTGGTCATAAGAAGAGAATTAGCCCCAATTCAGAAGAGGGGGGGGGAATCCATAGTAAAAAGAGCTCATTTCCAGCAATTTCTCACCACCCCACCAAGATATTGAAACAGTTTTGCCTTCCCACCCCCACCCCAGGCGTTCGGTTTCATTTCCACTTACAGGTATCTTTCAGGATGGAATTGATGGTGCAGAGCTACTGAGAACCCGAAGTAACTGTCAGGAGTTTTGCCTTTCTTGAGAACCACGAATTTAGTGTCCAAGTTGAAGGAAGCACATCTTGGAGGGGCTAGAGACAGCCACAGCATGCACCCCAAAATCAGAAGCAGGCGCCCCCAAATACACTTCCTTTGCTCAGAGGCTACCAGGAGAGGCTGAAAGTGCGTAGTGGCCATAGCTTGCCAGATGAATTTCCCTCCTGCCAGTGAGCGCCCGTTCAGAATGTGGCTGGCTTGCTGGGAAAGCCGATAAAGAATATTGCTGCTGGTTGAGGAATGTTTTCTCTCGCTGCTGCTCCGATCCTCGCTCGCAGTGAAGACGCCCCTGTTTTCTCCCCGCCAAAGCTTTGATTCTAGTGCTTGCCTGAGCGGGTAGTTAAAAGGAAGCGCGCGTCATTACCACCCTCCAGCTTCTCCTTTCTCTCCACCTTGCACACACTCTAATCGGCTGGTTCTCCTGCACTTTTCTTCCGGGGGAAAAGAAACAAGAGCTTATGATCTCTTAAAGGGCCCGCCCAGGTTGGATACCTGCCCAGCACACAAAAGGGGGAGGAGGAACTGATATGTAGCAGTTAAGGTGTTGGGCAAAAATGCAGGAGCCCCCATTTCAAATTCACTCCCAGTCATGGGTACCCAGTTGGGTCTGTTGTTGCTTCTGGATCCGATCTACCATACAGGGCAGCTGTTGGGAGTAGAATGGAAGAGGGCTGGTGTATAGAAAATATAATGCTACATTATTACACATTATTATAATGGTAATCATAATGCTAATAAACTAAAGAACATCTCAGCAAAACAATAGTTATAGTTAGCAGGCTACATTTGGATACTTACTTATATTGGGAGGCTGCAGCAATATGAGTGATTAGGGAAATACCCTCCACACAAGTTTGGAAGCATGACTGTTCATTATACACTACAACATAAATGATGGGTTACAAGAAAGGTTGTGTTTTTATTCCACCATAAATAAAGGAGATTTATGCAAGAGCTTTCCTAAGCTACATAGACAAATAGGGCTTTATCCAAAGTATGGTTCAGTATATGACATGATCAAACGGAACAGCACTTTTCGTTCAAACAAGGAAAACAGATTAGTTAAAGCATACTATAGAGAATTCAATTTTCCTAACTCATTTTTATATAGTGGGAGCCATTCCTTGGGGCATGGAAAAAATAACTACATGATCGTAGAAATCAGGCAGAGGAGAAGGACTGTCCAAGTCTTGAAAGTGATTTTAGTGCAAACAAACTTTCTCATTAATGGGGGGGGGGAGAATAAAACTTGGTTTAGATTAGCCAATAAGAACATATTTTGGCATTTTTGATGACCCTGTTACTTTTCTAGTTAACTGCATAGTGTATCTAAAGGAAGTACAAGTCCTTGACTTGGAATTAAAATTTATCATCTGTACCTTCCATTTTCACTAGTCATCCCAGTGATTTTCTGAGAAAGATAGGTCTATTGTATATGGCAATTTTCAAGGAGATTGTGTTCCTGCCCTAGTACCCACATTGCATCTGAGAAACTCTTGAGAAGTATGTTGGGGTGAGAGACAACGATGGCTTCTAAATTATCCCAGACATTTTTATGACCAAGCAGAGATGTAAAATTAATTCTCTATTGAACATCTTCCATGTTCAATATTTATTAGTCATCAAACCTAAATCACAGATCTTGTCTAGTTCTAATTTTCTTGTTCTAGAACTGAGCCCTGATTCAATTACCTAGCCCTAAAATACCATCTGAATTTAAGGATGATAAGATTTTTTTCTCGTTTGAGTTAATAATGTTCATTTCTGGGAGGACAGAAGCTGGCAATATGGGAGAAAGGCTCTTGGACTATTACAGAGAACCATTATGTCAATATACCTCCCTTTCAGTGTTAGGAAATGAAAAGCCAATTATCTGTTGACTTGTACAGTTAGGAGATGAGAACTATAATTTAAGCCTTGGAGAACAGATGATATGTAGGCTTTAATCCTATGTACGTAATATACATGAGAGCTTCATTCTTATTTGCAATGAAGAAACTAGTTATGTTTTGCTGCTGAGTTTTCTGCAAAGTAAGCCAGTTTTAAAACAAGTGCCCGGCAAACAAAAATTTTCAATTGTGTAAAATCTTGATGTACCACATTTTAAAACAACCACATTTTCACCTAGTTAATAGATATGTTTTACTGATTTTGTTGAATCATGAATCATGTTTTGTCTCCACATTTTCACCTAGTTAATAGATAAGTTTTACTGATTTTGTTGAATCATGAATCATGTTTTGTCTAAAATGGCACCTGCAATTCCACATTTTGCATGGAATTTTTTTTATTTTTAATGCTTGTGATATCCATCCTTAAATTCATTTTCTAAAATACAGTTGTAGAATCATAACCCCACATCATTTATCCGAAGGACACTAGTATCAGTGCTGATAAGGATATAGACAGGGGCAGAGATCTGCCCAGCTCCGGCTGGCCACTTAATCTACTGGTTACACATAGCCTGCAATCACTAAGCAATGTTCTTGAGTTTGTGAGAAACAGTTAGTGCAGGGGTAGGCAACTTTGGCTCTTTTATGACTTGTGGACTTCAACTCCCAAAATTCCTGAGCCAGCATTGCCTACCCCTGGTTTAGTGTAATGGACAAGGCATCAGGCTAGAAACTGGGAGATCACAAATTCTAGTCCTGCTTTAGGCACAAAGTCAGCTGGGTAATCTTGGGCAAGTCACTTTTTCTCAATCTTAGGAAGAAGGCAATAGCTATCACTTCTGAAAAAGTGCTAGGAAAAGAACTTGAAAGAACTTGTCTTGGTAGTCTCCAAGAATCAGATACAATTAAACAGAAAAAAAAGGAGAGATTGGACATCTGATTTTTACCAAGTAGATTTGTCAGTCATGACTTTCTGATTGATTGATTGATTGATTGATTGATTTAGCAGGGCTATAAACCCTCATAGAGATCAATTATCTTGTGTCAAACAAAACAAAACAATAGTCTAGCTAACAGTATCCTCTGCTGAACTCCTCTTACTGTCTCTTAGCATTCAGACAAAACCAACTTTCTTTTGTTTGACATCTATTTTGGTTTTGAAGATGTTGTAATCAAAACCAAAATTATCATAAAAACCAATCAAACTGAGTACCCTATGCTTCTCATAGGCTCTTTGGAAAGTTCAGTTTTCATATTGGCAAACCAGGATATTGGGAGCCAAGCTAATTTCTGAGGGAGACTGTTCCATTAAATGGACATTTAAGTTTAGTGAGGATAATGATCTCTTTGTATGATTATTTTTCCCCAAATTCCTGAAACTCCTCCTTTCTAAATTTTATTGTATTTTTTTTCTAGTAAGCCATCCAGATTCATAATAATTTGGAATTATCTATATATTTCATAATAAACAAATGGTTCCCCAGCTGTGAAGCAAAGTCCACAAGTCTTTACAGCAGAATAAGCTTAGTATTAAGCTTAAGGATTATTTCATTAATTTGCTGCATTTCAATGGAGTTCTTTTAATTATCTTAAACTGGTTCTGGAAAAAGCACTGCTAACTTAGTGAGACCCAGACTACATGATTATAATGTTCTCTGAGTGGGATTGCCATTAAAGACAACTCAGAAAAACTGATGCATTTAATACCTGGATAGTAAAATTAGAACAAACGTGGTCAGCATTTATTGCGTGCAAGGTCTTGTCAAATATAGACAGCAAATCATCTGTATAACCAGGAAGTAACTAGAGAATAATAAACAGAAAAATCACAAAAGAGATCTTTTGGGACAAGATCGCACATTGGGGTGATTAAAGTGGACTTTTAGCCAAAAATAAATAAATGAAAGACAAACATCTAAATTTCTTCTGCTCTTAACAACCTCTTTCCCCCAAAGTATTCATTTGTGCAATATTTAATTTCTTCAAATGAAGAATGAAGGGCATTAATGGTTGCCGGTATTTTCTGCTTGATAATTTTGATCTCACCTAAGAGGATCTGGAGGAAGGGAGAATTAATGCCTAAAGTCCAGAGGAATATTCTTGATGTTTCCATTTCTAATTAGAGAACCTTGAATAAAACGTCACCCAGAAAGAATTAACTTCTAACCTGAAATGCTATACTATAAGATTCTTTTTCTCTTCCTTTATATTCATAAAATAGAATAGAGCTGGAAGGGACCTTGGAGGCCTTCTAGTCCAGCCCCCTGCTCAAACAGGAGAACCTATATCATCTCAGACAAATGACTGTCTAACCTCTTTTTAAAAATCTCCAGGGATGGAGGACCCATGATTTCTGGGGGCAAGCTATTCCACTAGTTAATTGTCCTCACTGTCAGGAAGTTTCTCCTTAATTCCAGGTTGCTTCTCTCTTTGATCAATTTCCAATCGTTGTTTCTTATCCTGCCCTCTGATGCTTTGGTGAATAACATGACCCCCTCTTCTTTGTGGCAGCCCCTCAAATACTGGAATACTGCTATCATGTCTCCCCTATTTCTTCTTTTCTTTAGATTAGCTAGCCAAATCCAAGTCCTGCAGCCGTTCTTCATATGTTTTAGTCTCCAGGCCTTTGATAATCTTAGTTGCTCTTCTCTGAATTTTTTCCAAACTCTCCTCATCTTTTTTGTTATATGGTGACCAAAACTGGCTGCAGTATTCCAGGTGTGGTCTTACTAGGATCTTATAAAGTGGTACTAATACCTCACGTGATCTTGATTCTATGCCTCTGTTTTTACAACCCTGGATTGTATTAGCTTGTTTGGCTGCTGCTGCTCATTGCTGGCTCATGGTTAAGTGATTGTCCACTAGGACTCCCAGGTCACTCTCACAGTTATTGTTTTTAAGCCAGCTCTCACCCAATCTGTACTTGTACCTTTGATTTTTCCTGCCTAAATGTAAAGTTTTGCTTTTCTCCACATTGAAACTCATTTTGTTGGATAGGGCCCATTGTTCAAGTTTGTCAAGATCTTTTTTGGATCCTGAGTTTGTCTTCTGGGGTATTGGCTACTCTTGCCAGTTTGGTATCATCTGCAAACTTGATGAGTTCCCCTTCAATTTCCTCATCATTGATGAAGATATTGAAGAGTACTGGGCCTAAGACCGAACCTTGTGGTACCCCACTGCTTATTTCTCTCCATATGGGTGTAGTGCCATTGAGGACTATTCATTGAGTATGATTTGCCAGCCAGCTATAGATCCATCTGGTGGTG